ACTGAAATTCGGACGGAAAACAACAAAATTGGAAGACAAAAGTCAAAAGAACAGCTGATCACACAGTCAGTGAGTCAGTAAATCACCGTCTTTTTTCCAGTACTATCACCTCTGATGAGGATAAAAAGAAGAACAAAAGGTCATGGAAAAACATCATGAAGAAACGATTTGGAGAGAGTGGAGCAGGTGCCGCTTAACTTTCATGAGGTAGTGCGCTGTGCTGTGCACATAATCCCCTCAGGTCTATTCAAGGTACCCAGTGGAATTATTTACCATACAACTCCTTCCCAGCAGAGTCTTATTGGCCGGCCGACATTTCTCACCTATTCATTTCCGGTGTAAGTTTACCAACCTTAAGAGAATAGTGCTTGTTGCCAATGTGGGCATGAGGCGCGCACAAATCGGCAAGAGGAAAAACAAGAAAGTCCATTTGCTCCAGACAAACGCATGTCCTTGAACTGAATCTCTTGTCACTTGGAGTCCGAATGAGAGGGGTTCTGATGCGCACTTCCAGACAATGTCAACTTAAAATTCTCCGTCATGGCTGTACCCAACCAGAATTGCGGGAAATTTGAACAGCATAGCGTAATGCTTCAGTTATCTCTCATCACCACCGTGGGCTTCTGTTACGTTTCGTGGGGCTGTCACACTGATGGGTTCGTATTCCGTCTCTTCACCAGACGGAGATCTCAAAGTCTCCTCACCAGACGGAGATCTCAAAGATTAAATAGCACGTAGAAAGGTCTAATGAAACCTGAGGAACTCGAAACCGAGTTGGTGACTGTCCTAAATCAACAAAGTAGAAACCTAGTGTTTTACAGAGGTTTTGATAAAAGCTGATCAGAAAGCACTGTCGAACTTCCCATGGGCTGGCAGTAGAACTTTTCACCCTTTGATGTTTTTTAGGTCCAATACTCGGTGTATCGCCGTTGTAAATTCTGGATTTGGTTTCCGACAGGGACGTCACCTTCTAACCAATTTTTGTGCAGATCCATTCACCAGGACTGAGGTTGTCCTGATACAATACTCGGTGTATCGCCATCGTAAATTCTGGATTTGGTTTCCGACAGGGCCGTCACCTTTAACCAATTTTTTGCAGATCCATTCACTAGGACTGAGGTTGTCTTGATAGAAGCACGGATACTTCTTTGACTTTTATCGAGGAGTGAATAGCCGAATATCCACACATGGCTCAAGTCGTTTGGTTACGTCATGGTTGCAACGTTAGTTGGAGATAACAATTTCTAAGCACAAGGTACAGTAACGTGATCTCAGAAATTACTTTGAGGTGCTTTCGAGAAAGAACTTTTTCAGTCTCTGACGATATTTTCAAAGTGGAATACTTGCAAACAACCTAATACGTTGCCGGCCAACCTCTTGTTGAAAGCTTAGCACCATTTTTTATCGGGAAATCAGGGTTGGCAGGCGATCGCCATTGGAGCGACACCACAGAGAGAACAACTGGTTGTCCTCACGGGTCTGCCGACTTCTGATACTTCTCAGTCTCTGGCAACAAAATGACGCTTTTCCCCTGTTAAATTGTGTTCTGAAAAACTTATTCCATCTCTGTTCAGGGGAGGAGTTGCTCAAGAAACTTGGTGAAGTTTGGCGAACATTCTTCACTTTTACGATTCCAACAATTAGTCTAATGTTTGCTCTACTTCCGGTAAGTTCTGAATAGATGAACAGCTGACAAATGCTCCCGCATTTCTTTCTGTGTGCCGGTTCTAACAGCCACCATTTTCTGAAAGTTAATGTAACACGAAATCACGAACCGACTGAGAATGGGAGCGGGTCAACATATTGAACCTAGCTCTTTCGGCTCTTCAGTGGTGGATGTACGTTGTAGTAGCCGCGTATTTAGCTTAAGCCGGTAGTCACCACAAATTCTCGGAGTAATACCATCAGCCTTTAGTGGGGAAACTATCGGAGTTGCCCAATTTGATGACTCGACAGGAGTCAGTATTCCTTTCGCACACATTGAATTTAATGCTTGACGAACAGACTCGCGTAAGCCAAATGGAATAATCCGTCTCTTAAGAAATATGGGCTCTCCTGTAACGTCGAGCCTCACCTTGGGAATTTGCATGCCACCTGTAGCCTTAGAACATTTCAGAATCAGTTGTTTGAGTTCATTCTCATTCACAGAAGTCAGTAAGGTGATGCTGGTTTGCAGTGAGCGTAGAACTTTGAGTCCGATAATCGATGGTCCAAGTAGATTCAAGTAGATTCGACATCATTGTCTCGTATACGCGAGAAGGGAAGACATGTGCGTCATCTTTGGCGGTAAGTTACTTATACGACAACCTCAATAGAAGGTAGTCAATGTGTACCAAGTGTGGAACTTATGGAAAACATACTATGAAGGAAAGAATAAGGCAATGCCTTTTTATGAAGAAAAATAGTCTTTAGGTTGCTAGGAATCTTTCGACAGCTTACGACAGATTTCGTCCATCTTGGATCTCATCAGGTAGACGCGATCTCCCAGTTTCCGTAAACCTTAACTGTACGAAATTCACTGATCTGCATACCAATTCGTTTTCAATAAGAGACTCAAGTTATTCACTTCTTTATAAGGCATCATTTCATCAGAGATCTAGCTGCGATTCAAATGAGCCTACAGTGATACACCAAACTGATGTGCGAATGATTGTATTTGGTGAACCAGGCAATGCACTATCCGAATACAAGAGTTGGGAATTTCCGATATGGTTTTCGACCTGCCAGTAGACCAAACGAAGCAGAAAGCCTTGTAGTTACCGAGTCAACTTGCTAACTTCAACGCGAATGGTTCAATAAGCGAGTTCCACGGGTAGGTTGCATACGAGCGAATTTCAGTTCGTCAGGTTGCAGTGATGCTTGAACGATTTTGGTGGCAGACGAGGAAACAACTTTCTTTGTCATCGCTCGTCACTTTGTTCGGGTTAAAATTATTTGCGGGACATCGTATTATGCTTAAATGAACACTACGAATCTTAACTGATCCAAAAACTGCGCATCAGAGACATGCCGTAACTTCAGACTCCACTTGTTTTCTAGCATTTTGATGCGGTACTAGGGAACAAAAATTAATAACTTGGTCATATGTTTGATACACTATGATTTGTTCCGAATGATTCTAACAAGCACGTCAATGTGCATTCATTCGAGTCTCGACTCACGCTAATTCGTTTCTCTGCTACTTTTTCATTTGTCATTCATATGCACCGAATACGAATTGATGTTCTCTTGAGAGATCACGCGATGAAAATCAACATTTCAAGTTTGGCAGGGGTGGTAGGGTTTCCATATTCTCCCTCCGTTGATTCGACCTCGCTAATCAATGACAGCACCTGGCTGTAGTCTCAAACGAAGGTTAACCTATTGGTCTTACTCCGTTTCTCGACTGAATGGTCGAAAATGCCCCCCGTACTGTACTTTCATAGTGACTTCCATAACTGACAGAACCTAGCCCGATCATTCAATAAGTGAAATCCCTTGGTGATATGCGACCTTGTGTTGCACCGGGTTTCAAATGCCAATAAAAGTACGAACGGGTTCATCAAGGAAGTGGTAACTTCAGTATTTTACTTTCAGATACCACGACTCCTGGTCGTTTGGTTGCATAGGATCAAGCGATTGACATTCTGAATATTTACGTTTAATATTCTTCTCTTTTGTCACTGTATCCAAACAGTATAAAGTTTATGTTACGAAACACTTTTCGGGCTCTCACGGTTGACCAAAAGTAATCCCCAGGGTGTCGGCAAGTGTTACGTTGTTTTAGTGTATGTTTTGCAAAAAAATCTCGGTATACTTGTTCCACCCAAAAACGGACTTCCAAAAACGAAAAATCTGTTACATCAGCGTGAACTTCTAACCGATCAAAATTCTAGGAACTTCCAATAGCATAGAGACGGCTTCCTCACCCTACCTTATGACAGGGTGGGGGAGGTGTCTCTATGCCATCGGAAGTTTCTAGAAGGTTCTAAAATCTAACCGATTAAAATTTTAGAAACTTCCAATAGCATAGAGACGGATTCTCTACCCTGTCATAAGGTAACCCAGAGACAATTTTATGAACTTGGTTTTAGAGTAACTGAACGCAATATTGTTGAAACGCGATCTGGAAGAATGCATTAACGGTTTAGAAGTGTGGTACTCTTCAGGATGGGCCTGTTCTGAACTCTCACCTCGCGAATCATTTTTACTTTGCTATTCGTCAGTATTTTCTCCACTCAGCAACTTTCCATCAAGATTTCGCCGATACAGCGGTAGCTTTACAACCTATTCCTTTCTCTTCACTCTCCGTTCGATTTGCACAGACGGCTCACCACATATTCGAGTCCATTTTACTGCAGGCATTTCTGACCGAGATCGTCGAAAAACTGTACGCTGTTGGTAAGCTCCTTTCAACATGTTTAACAAATACTTAAAGAATACAGGGACAGGATATACGAACCAAAAGATCGAATGTACAGGCTCTTCTACACAAACCACAGATTTGCTCAGAAAAGTGGACTGTGATCCAGAACTGAGCAGTCAACTCACCAGAATTTCGCACTGTTTGCCCATATCCGCGACAGTCAACTCGTTGAAGTGCTATATGTTAGATAGAAACAAACGATCGGTATGTGTAGCTTCGCCTAAACCTATCTTTACTTTACCGGTCGAAGACCATCTACGTCTAGCTTCTACCTCATTCATTCATAACCTTTCGCTGTACACTGCATGCACTGTTTTGCTGAATCCGCTTATTTGTTCCACTCACTCACTTCGTCACTATACACAGTAACATCAGTGGTCAGACTGATAATTCATCGCTAATCATCGCTAACTTATAAAACTCGAAGGTTGAACTAAGGAGGGAGAGAGCAGGCAGAGGGACTTGGCGCTACCTAACCATCATCACACTTTGATGTACGCAAACAATTCCTTCCAGGCAAACAGAAGGATGACACACACATCATCAATTTCAACTCCCTTCCGTCCCCTTCTACCAGCCGTTCAAAACAATGTCAAGTCATCGTCAGCGGCCCAACAATGTGCACCACGCGCTACGTGTGAAGCGGTTGAGGATTCCAAACCTACATTTTTAGCTCACTCCACCTCAAGTGGATGGATGTGTCGTGCGGGTAGAACGGATTTCTAGAGGATAGTGAAGTAAAAACATTTCGTTGCGTCTCATCAGGCGTACATGGCTACAATTCAATCACCGGAAATGTCCTGAGAAAATCGCCGGTTTCTGCTCGCACTCTTCTAATCCCTGTTTTCTGATACCAACTGATTAAGCAGAATAAATTGCGATTCAATGCTGTGCCAAAGATATTCAACAGCCACCTAGTTTACCCCAAGCTCAGTTACAGCTGACTTAAGAATATAAAAAAAATAGAGATTCAGTTGAGTGGCCGGATAACACTTGGGTACAGATTTATGTCTCATTAAAAGTAATGTTGATGCGCACTCAAGGGATTAGGCCTACCTGAAGAGTTTCATGGGAGGTGAAAATAGTCGCTAAGTAATTTAACAGTCGTCTATAGTTAACCGGATAAACCACACTATCAAACCGATTTCCAACATCTGAATTTAATTTCGAGAACATCAGTAGCTTAAACCTAATAGCATTTACATCCGAGTTTACGGTCGCTTTCCTGGGCGAGATAGAGAAGCGAATTCGTCCTGGTCTACTCAGACACATTCCGGTTTGCTTAAAAGCACATGGAGAGAGCAGTTGCTCTTATTGCAATTTCAAATTTACCGATGATCATTGCTGGAGTTATTTATAGCCCATCACTTAAGTGAAACCAGATACATCATCTCTCTGGCAACTGTGTTCCAATCTTTGCGTACGACACGGAATGCGTCTCTTTGGTCACTCATTTGGTCAGTTAACTGGAAACCAAACGTGCGTAAATGGAAAGCGACGACGATTTCATAAATTTGATTATCGGTACAAGAACACAACTTTAAGGGCGGGGCCTTTTGTGGCTCAGCGTTTCAGTCACCAAGAGTGGCCCACATCAGTAGCAAATGAATCGGAATCACGAATATCTGCTACTGATCAAATCTAATAATTACCGCAAACAGTGCCCAATCTATTCGACTTGGCTCGTACTGAATAGGGTGCAAATGGTCTCTAACACTGATTTCCTTGGCACTCGTCCGTTGACTGACTTCTCGTAACATCTCCACGGTAGACTTTTACTTAGATTCTTCCGAGAATACACATCAGAGTACACCGATTTGTCGTGTAAAATTACGTTTCCCTATACTATTTCTCACAACAAATAATTCAAAAAAGGCCCGGAGGAAAGATGATTTCACAAAGTGAACGAAACTTCCGACTAATAAGTCACTACTCGACTAGCCAGCCAATAGGTCATGGAGTTTCCGTGGGCGAAGGATGAGTGGTATTGCGTCATACCCAAGTAATCGCACTGATATTGTCGGGCTCGTGGCCGAACAGTCAACTGTTTATACTGATAGTCTGGTGAGTCGCGGGTTCAAAAATCCCTGGAGTTTCGTCAAATGCACACTGCTCATGATACTCAATAAGGATGAAACAGTACAGTTCTTCTGCGTCGCCAGCTGTCCTAGTCTACGATCAGCTAACTGGTCAAGGCTCACTGACTTGTTCCCAATACATCCGGCGCGAGAATAAAGTGCTACCGCTTACAGTGCAGTAAATTTAAAATTTTAACCTCTCCAGAAAATTCAAATCTGGGTTCTTAAACGCACTGTGCATTAGAAATTATGCAGGGTGACGTGTACAACTTGACACGATAACAAGTAAGTTCTAGCAACAGTTCTTCTCGACTGTGCGGTTTTCATCAAAGCCGATTACTATGTTTGATTCAATTGCGTAGACAACGTCTTTCGTTTACGAGATATTAATTTTGTTCAGAGTTAACAAAAACGACGCTTGAAAAAGACAGATTTTACTCCCCAGTCGGTATGCTTTGATGTTTTGTTTACACCATCCCGTCATGAATTGATGGTACAATTGAAACCATAAATTTGACAGTTCTGGGTGTCTCATTAGGGTGAACAAATGAGTGAAAACATGTGATTTGCAACCAGTGGTGATTATCTAGTCGACCTTTAATATCTTTTCAGATGCAATTGTTCAAAGTGAAGAAATTGATGTCTGGATAGAACACATGTATTCAGTTCTTTTGGTAGGTTTCCAGTGTTCAGTTTCAGTGTTCGCCTATTTGGAAGACTCATTTTTGGTAGCCTTATCAAAGAAAATTTCCATATTGTATTGAACTATTACATGAGAATGTTTGAACTAACCTCAATTGCAATTCATTCCCGCAGAACTAACAAACTAAATTCTCCCCACAAGGGAGCAGCGCATCGGCATTAATTAGTGAGGAGAAGTAGTTTACGATGCCCAAATGTTTAAAAGCTAACCTGCAAGGGGTGATCAGATGCCATGTTTGGATAACTCGTGATCATTTCGAAAAAGTTTGGAAACCATTGAGAAATCGTCATTTCAGAAGGGTTAGGTAGACGACCGGTAATTTTTTATTTGGGCAACGCTTGGCTTTTGACACAAAAGCTTCGTCAGACCAAGTGAACAGGTCACCAAGTTGGCCAGGTTTTAAGGCAGACGGGGAACCAATCAGTAAGCCCTATTTAGATTATCACACTAGATCAGTAGAGGCGGATGAGCTATGGGTACAGGTGGTCACAGTTCTAAAGTCCAAGCAGCCAAGAGCTCCAAATATTACACCAACGGAGCGAGGAGAGTTAAACACCTTAAAACAGGCGGACAACATGGTGATTACAAAGGCAGATAAGGGTAAGGCCACTGTTGTAATGAACAAGAGTGATTATCCACAGGTCATCACAGGGAGATCGATAATGCGAATGTTACATCTATGATGAATAGGAGTAGAGCTGAACAAGAGTGATTATCCACAGAAGGTCAAGCTGAAGGTCATTACCAGGAGATCGATAACGCGAATGTTACATCTATAATGAATAGGAGTAGAGTTGAAGTTGGGAGATATTTGCGGACCTTGATAAACCACTTGGGGCAAGGCAACTGGTACCGAATGTGCAATCCAACCATCCCGGTGAGACCGATTATAGAAGGAATAGGTTCCCCAGTTCCAGCCAGATTCTTGGCCGGTATTTTGAAACCCCTCACCGGGAAATCCAGTACTTACATTATCGTATGACTTTGCCAACAAAGTAGTGGGGATAACCGTTGGACCAGATGACATCCTTGTAAGTTGCATTGACAATTCGTTATGTACAACTGTACCAAAAGGGGACTCTTTATAAGTAACTAAGCGACCGCTACTAGCAGATACCACCCTTTCAGAATGGACACAGCTCACGGTGGATGAAACAGTGGAGGGCACAAAAGCATGCCCGAATCTCACTCACTTCGTTTTCGACCTCGTGGTTTACACCCAAGCACAAGGTCTAGCAATTGGATCTCAAATATCTCGGTTTTGGCAACCACATTGATGGAGGAATTTGAACAGAGCGTTTTAGCCGGATTCTCATACTCACCTAAGGTATTCTGGCATTATGTAGATGACACTTTTGTCGTGATAAAACGAGACAAGATTAGTGAGTTTTACAAATATCCACACATCACATTTAGTATGGAGATGTAGTCAACCTCGGGTAAACTGGCCCTTTTAGAGTGCATGACACATAAGGTCGGGAGGAAACTAAAGACCACAGTGTACGAGAAGCCGACCGATACTGGAGCAGTTTTGAACTACTCGTCTGCCTATCCGGAGTCGGTAATCACCACTATTGCCTCATCAGTGTTTAGGCGTGTAAGGGACCTGTACACAGAAGAAGCTGATCGGACAACGGCCCAAAGTGAAGGACAGTGCTCTTAGCTGCTAAACCTTTGCTAGTGAAATAAAACATTTTGCGCGGAAATGTTGCATTTTGTTGCGTATGTGCTCACATTAAAATCCATCCCAATCTACAGTAATACGTTTGCAGCCCACCGAATTTTATTGTCCACCGATGCAATCATACCCCTGGCGAAAAAGTCTGGTGGAATACTTTCCTAGAATCGCTGACATCCCAGGATATCCAAATAGTGCTCAAAATACGGAACTCGTACTCTGAGCTCAATTGCTTATCCCTTTCAGTCTAACAGGGCACGTCGTAAATTTCGAAAATTGAATCCCGCAGTGCGAATACTGAGCGGCTACCGGTAGCGAAACCCAACAGGGAATGGATCGGGTCCACTGTTATTCCATATAAACCAGGGACATCAGAGGCCATTCGAAGAATTCTAAGCATGGCTAAAATAAGAGTAGCTTTCCAGAGGGGGAACACTGCGCTCTGCAGTGGTGTAACTGAAGGATCGCCTCCCGGGAAACAAAACCAGGGGCTGTCTACAAAATTAACCGTAATGACTGCATCAAGGTCTACATAGGACAGATGGCCAGAGAACTTCAAATCGGAATTGGAGAGCATAGTAGAAAGATAAACAGGCCGCCGTGAAACGCAGATGAATATCAAGCGTCATTGAAAGACTCGGTAATTGCGGAACACACACTGGACACGGAACAAAAAACATATTCTGAAAATGTTTAGGTTTTGAGGCAAGGACCGCGGTCAACGTCACAGAGACTGATAGCCGGGGCGGTAGAAATCGCCAAGCATCCCAGTGGTAACAGAGTGGAAGGCGTAGAACTGACACGCGTGTGGAGAACGATTTTGGGTCAATAGAGCTTACAAGTGTTGGTGTGCGGTTGTCAGAAAGATGAGTAGTCATCATCTGGATTCCACTTAACCTTACCCAGACCCTCCCCCCAATTAAATCGTCGCAGCACTCAAAAGCTCACGAAGATCATGGAAAATCTATCAGTGGCACCTGAGGTGAATCAACAATTAAAGCACGTTGAAGCGGAAGAAAAAGGAACAAGGGTCGGTCGGAACTAATTTGAAACTCGTCCAGCCCAGCGGTTTAAGATTTTGGCAGCTACACTAGCCCTCAGGTGCTAGTGTGAGGCACTGATCTAGTGTGATAACATGAAGAGGACTTACTGATTGACTCCCCGTCTGCCTTGAAACCTGGCCAACTTGCTGACCTACTCATTTGGCCTGATGAAGCTTTTGTGTCAAAAGCCAAGCGTTGCCCAAATAAAAAACTACCGATCGTTTACGAGGCTCTTCTGAAACAAAACCCGAGGTCATATTTAAAACAAATGAACTGATAAGGATATGTAAAATCTGGTGAAAACGACATATCATTCAACGGCTTGATATTAAATATTCCCCTCGTTGGATACCTTTCACGTTTTTCACTAGCCACAATTGCATCATTCCTACTGGCGATCACGGCTCTCCCAAGTGCACACGGGACAATATACAGCCCTGAATATTATGGTGTTCGTTTTTTGCTGACCAGGTAGCTGTCCATTTTGCGAACGTTTTGAATCAAATCGCAAAACTTCGCTTCCAAACGAAGAGGCTTCATCAGTGCGCACTCTGATCAACAACCGATGAAAGCATCCGAGCTACCAAAATTCCAACAAATTACTATTATGACGCTCGGCCAAAAGTTTCACCTCCCATGAGCACGTTGATGAGGCTTTTGTTGAGGTCGTGTTACATCCTTCCCCTTGCAATGAAAACACACTGGACAGTGTTCCTTATGAATAACTTACACGGCACAGCGGTATATTGTTTGTTAGTGGCCGATCTCACAAGACTGGAAGCTTACGGAACTGGCGCTCCGTGTTCGCACAACGGAATTCGAAAGGCGAATTTTGTCCCTGATGGACCAAAAGAGACAGGCAATTGACTTCAAAGTACGAGGCCAAACTTTTCAGCTCCACTTAGGCCCCCTAAGGTCTCACCGATGCTGGGTAGGTACTTCAACAGACTTTTTCGCCAGGAGAATGATTGCTACAGTGGACAATGAAATTCGGTGGGCTGCGAAAATTTGAAAGTAAATTAGGATAATTTTTGCTGTGAGCACACACGAAACAAAACGCAACATTTGGCGCAAAAAGTTTTACTTCGCTCTCAAAGTTTTTGCAACAAGGAGCATTATGCAGCTAATGGGATCCCACAGAACTCTATCGTTTAATTTTTATAATTTTCACCGGGGAAAAGTTCACTTCGTTTAAACAAAAATTCAGAGGCATCCAGTTTTTGCATTGCACTTTTGTCTTGACACTGTATTTCCGAAGGTCCTCACTAAAACCTTTAAGTATAGATCCACTGAACCCGCAAATTGATATTTAGGTGCGAAAACTTTAGGTTTCCTAGATAACACATTTTAGATATCGTGCCACTGAATGCTTACCCTCACATTCTAACCTGTAATCGTTTTCAAATCAAGTACATTTAATTTTTAGACATTCTGTAATGAAAATGGGTCACCAGAAGTTGGTAGCAAACCGCCATCCATCTTTGAATTGCGTGGAACATATATCGCATTCGGAGAAAATGAATACACACATAGATTCTGATGTATCTTTTACCCGCTTATTTGCGTAAAAAGCGTAAGAATAGGATCGACTTGTGAAGTTTGCTTGCCGAAGCTTGCTTAATCCTTACTAGACACGAAAAGCGTTCCGCGCACCTTGTTTACCTAGGACCTTGTGCCATTCCCGTGCTCACGAGAAGAGCAGCAATAGTTTGGCTGCACCCTACAGCTAACCTTACCGTTGTGTGAAGCCAGCCACACTTCGTTTACTTTTAACACTCCCGTGAAGGATTGCGGAATTCATTGGTATTTCTATATTTTTGATAGATCGGCCGACTTCCCATCCGTGACTGCCCAGCTTTTGGAATTAAAAGAAACTCCAGAGTTGACGCTTGTGTCGATTACAACCTAACCTAGACCTGGCGCTATCGTACCACCGCAAGAGGCGGCAAAAGGCATGAGTGAAAGCAAACGAACCATTATGCAAATGTCTATCGAAGTGTATGAAGCCATTACAACCATACTTGACACTTCAGCACAACAAAAAAATCATCGTGTGTATGAAATGATATAAACAGCGCTGAGTCAAATGGTGCTATTGATAGACTCAGCGGTGTAATTTTCTGACCAGCGGGCAACTCATAAACTCGCAATTTCTATCCAACTCAAGGTGCCTGGTACATTTACAAGATCAATAAGCACAGGAATATCGCATTCGAACACGAAACCTTTCTTCTAAAACACTGTGGTTTCGGTGAAGACTGCCTGTCAGGTGTGCTCGTGCCTTGCTGTGCTATTATGCGGTAGAATAAGGATAGCCTTCAGCTCATAAAGTGGACCGGAGACCAGTGGTTTCATAAAAAGTCACTTAGGCAGTTTGGCCACGGTTTAAAGCGGGACGATCTCCTAATGTTACAGGCGTCGAGCGCCTTCTCCAGATATAGCTAGGCGCAGTGAACCACACTTCGCGGTCATCGGACAAACGTAGTGTAACGGTGATACTACTGATGTGGGAGGCACGGTAGTAGTATTTTTTCTTCTCGTAAATTCGCTTGAAAAGGGAGACCTTTTGTAGATTTGTGGACTCGCTTTGTAGCATTTGCTTGAACTTAAGCAACACTCAGTTAAATATCCAGGAAAGTTCAGGAGGACGAATGCAAGAGAAGATGGATGTTCAGTTTTTGTAATAAAGGTGCATATGAGGGTTTTGCTTTCCTGTCCAATAGTCCGAAACTGGTCACTCGGCATTTCCCAATAAATTACTTCACTAAGAAGGCCTTCTTCCTTTCGTTTGGTGCCGTGACTAGGATAAGGATGAGAATCTCTTGGCCACAACCATTTGCGGATGGGAGTGTTCGGACCTTCCTGGAGGATTTTGAGGAAGTTGCGGAGGCTACCGGACTGGAGACCGACCTGTGTAAGTTGGCGTCTCTGACGACTCTCTCTAGGGGCCTGGTGAAGGCGGCCCTGGATGCAGCCATTAGAGGCCCTCGGAAGATGGACTAGGCCGCCGCGAAGGAAGTCCTTGTAGCGGAGTTCGACACACCGGCCGACCACCAGGAGGCTATGAGGCGGTTCAATATGGCCAGGATGACGCCAAGATCCAACCCGATCGTGTTCTTCGTGGGCCTGCAACAGCCGCTGGATCGCGCGTTGCCGGGACTGGAGGGAGGGTCGCGCCACCAGTTGCTGTCAGACCAGTTCGTCGAAGGTGTGCAGCCGGCGCTTGGTGCGCAATTGCGGTTGGCGCGGGCAACTGGCCAATTGAGTGCGGAGGAGCTGGTGCGTCTGGCCCGGGAATTGCCCGAGGTACCGCTGGCCACGTTTCAGTCACGGGAGAAGGGGGATGGTTCACCAGCGGAGGAACCGCAGGCCAAAGTGGACCAACTCGCTGAACAGCTTGCAGCCGTGAAGACGGAATCACGGAGGCACGCTCGAACGAGCCGGTGCTACATGTATGGAAAACCTGGCCACGGGAAGAATCAGTGTCCTTGTACTCGGTCACTTGGGAATAATAAAACTTTAGAGTAATTCTATTTTCCTAGATGCTCCGCGACTAGCGTACTGACACGGGCTACCATATAAGCCACTGTCAAGGTAGACGTGAAAAGTGACTCATGTTTGATTGATACAGGAGCAGACGTATCGCTGAGGTGGATGCGAACCAAGCTAAACGCAGACCGTGCACGCTAGCCGTGAGGGCTGTGGGTGGATATCGGCTGAAGTTTGACGGATTGTCAATGCACTCGATACGCCTACGCGACAGGTCCGTGCAGAACGTGTTCCTGATCAGCCCCGACGTAGAAGAGACAATATTGGGGGCGGATTTTCTAAAGGGCACAGATTCCGCAACTGACCTAAAGCAGGGAAAGCAGGTGACAAGGTATCGCGCAGTCAAGCTTGAAGGGTACTCAGGCGCCGCCGTGGGTGGGCTGCGTCCGAAAACTCCTCTTGTGATGTACCGTCAGTACGGTCCGAAATGTTCACGGGCGATGAGGATCCGTTTGCCTTCTACAGGTGGACGGAACACGAAATTCCCCTGTCATCAGAACGCTTTCGACCTTTTGGCCCCCTCCGTTGACGCTCCATCTACGGGAGCGGTCCATAAGCAGATTCAGATGTTAAAGAATGGCATAATCGAAGAAGCTAATAGTGCGTACACTGCCCCAGTTGTGCTTGTTAGAAAGGCGAAAGGAAAATGCAGGTTTTATGTTGATTTCCGGCGCTTGACTGAACTGACTGCTAACCGGCTTGCGGCTGTACCTTCGATTGCGGAGATTTTCGATTCCCTCCAGCATTCCCGATATTTCACTGTGTTCGACTTGCGTTCCGGATACTGACAACTACCTATCGAGGCGGAGGACCGGGAGAAAAAGGCGTTTACAGTTGGGGACACCTAATATCAATTTAGACAAATGCCGTTTGGTTTGTCTGGGGCCCCATTCATATTCCGGCGCTTGATGCTTCGTTTAACGAAGAGGCTCCAGAATGTTGCCGTGTACGGAGACGATATCATTGTGTACAGCAATTCGGAACCAGAGCACGTAGTTTACTTGAAGGCTGTATTGAAGTGGATCCGGGAGGCTGGCCTGCGGAGTTCGGTGGCAGTACTGCGGTATAAGGTGGGTCACGGAGAAGTTGGTTCACTGCCCGAAAAATTGGCAAAGCTCGAGGATTGTGCTGTTTCCTATTCAAAGCGGTCTCCATGACAGTTTCTTGGACGAACAACATACTACAGCTCGTTCGTCAAGGATTTCAACACGATCGCTGTGCCACTGTGCGACTTGCTCGGGCAAAATCGGAAATTCGAATAGACTGGAGAAGCCTATAAGGATTTTGAGCGTGTCAAAGCGCGGATGTCGGATCAGCAACTGACCCTCAAACTGCCCAGGGTCGGAGAGATGTTCACTTTTGCAATGGACGCCAGTGATCGCGGGATCGGCGCAGTCCTAAAGCATAGCAATGGGGTTATCAAACTTGCCAGTCGTGGCCTGACTAATACCGAACCAAAGTACTCGACCACGGGGAAAGAATGTTAAACAATCGTCTGGGCACTGGATAAGTGGAGGCCATATCTTTTTGGACAGATATTTTATGTCGAAACCGATCACAAACCCCTGGAGTGGGTCCGGACCACCAGAGATTCTCACGGAAAGCTCGCGCACTGGGCACTCCGGTTGCAGGAGTACGAATTCACAACCAAGCACGTGCCAGGGAAGGATATCCACTTGGCTGATTGGCTGTCAAGACCAGAGGCTGAAGATGAGGTCCCCAGAATCATGTTTGGGGCCAATAGCCTCGTCGTCGAACTGGATCCCAGAAGGTTGGCGCAACTTCAACTGCAGGATCTCGTGTTACAAAAGGTTGCAGCCACCTTGTTTGATGGAAGGAGCGCTAAGAACGGAGAGAGAGACAAGGAATTGGAAACGTTCCAGAGCCACTTGGGTCGGCTGGGGCTGAATGAAGCTGGCATAATTTCCTGGAACGCCACTGATTCGGACGTTGTGCTGCCCGTGATAATTCGTGTTCTGAGTCGGAAGCTTACCATCGAATGCCTCGAGTTAGCACATACAGGGTGCACCAAGACGTACGACTGGCCCGGGACAAGGAGTGAGGTGATGGATTATGTGGTGTCCTGTAAGCGTTGTCAACTAATGAAAGTGGATACGACAGGGGCAACTCATCCCGTGGAATCAATTCCTGTCTCGGAATTCGGCGAGTTGTGGTCAGTTGACGTCATTGGCCCCTTTCCGGTAGCAACCAGAGGGAATCAATACATCGTGATAATGATAGGTCA